CAGAAGGAAGAGTTGGAGGAACTGGGGGTATTGAGCCTGGACACAGAAGCTGTCAGGTCTTTGATTAATGTGGAGTGAATAGGGACAGATGGGGGCTGTGGATCCCTGTTGAAGCCACATGATGAGAGATTTCAGTTCAATATATAGAAGGACTTTCTAAGAGTTAGAACTCCCCAACAGACAAATTCACTCCCCCGAGTGAAGAAACAGCTCCATAATTTGAGGCATCTAATTGTGGCCTGGATAGTCACTTGGCAGGGCTGTGATATTATAGGGAAGGTTCAGGCAGGTGTTGAATAAGTGAGTAGGACGAGCTTGGCCCTCCAGGCTGTGATTCTATGATTCTCTGGTCTTAATATCATGAATTTATATGACCCAGAATAAGTTTTTTCCACCTGTTTAGCCCTTAGATTCTCAATTTTTGAAGTTTATTTCTAGCTCTACTCTTCTCAGGCCCTGCAGTTCTCAAAGCAAAACTACAACTAAGGATGCAATAAAAAGTACAGGTTTATTACTGTTTTAGCCTGACAGAGTTTAACATAATGTTGATATCTTGGGTTTCAAGCTCAGGTTGCCTAACTCAATCCTGGACACTTGAGTCTGGAGTCTTCTTTTGCTAATGCCTTCTTTTTTTTTAAAGTCAGTTAAATCCCAAATTTGCTTTATTTAGCTCCATGAGTCACTGAGGAATACCTCTCTCAAAATATCCCTGAAGTCCTGATTGAAAGACTTCCTGGCCCTTTCAGAACTAGGGTTCCACTGGAGGATGGGATGAGACAGATCGGGAGAGAGTGGTAGCCAGAGGTGGGACTGTGGCAAGGCTGGAGGTCAGGGAAAGGCAACAGAGAAAAACCAGCATAGCCTTATGGTGACACTTCGGAAAGGTGGGCAAACTGTTTACAAGTAACCCTTGTGAAGGGTCGTTGCAAGGATTAGGTGTGTTAAATACATATGACATACTTTGAATAGTGTGCTGGCCACACAAAAGTAGTATGAAAATATTGTCAATGGTTTTATTATTACTATTAATCTATGAATCTAGGACAGTGATTGCATTTAATAAATATTTGTGGAATGGACAGAAAAATAAATCGATAGCTCTTTGACAAATAGTTTAATAATAATTGAAAAGCAAAGTGGTGGCTGCACATTTGGGTAACGGCAAGATTTTTCCAGGGGAAATGGGAAAGCCCTGTAAACCCTGACATTCTGTTAATATTATGTTGTTATTTTAACTGTCAGTCCAGATTTCTCGCTGCTCTTCTTTTTTTTATGATGAAATGTGGAAATTTGGAGGGTCTATGGAAAATGTGATTATGGAATAAGTATTTACCATTAGTATGGCTTTTGCTAAATTCTGAGTCTGAATGAGTTTTTGTTTGAGCCAAACAGTTAAAAATTGTTCTATTTCTAAAGTTCCTCAAGTGACCAAAATGCCTCTAGTTAGAAAAGAAATGAATACTGGTTATTCATTTCTTATTGTTATTGCTAAATATATGCACATATTTAGGTTCACTGGGTTAAATTTTCTGCTTTTCTGTTGAAGAGTATGTAGAGTCAAGTCCTTTCCGGGCATGTGTTGCAGGGGTCACTGTGCCCTATCTTCAGTCCTTGTTCAACTAACCCCAGACCTCCTTCCTCGCAGCCCAGGTTGAGGCTGTGTGGGGAGAAACAGGTGAGCTAGAGAATTGTCAAATTGCTTCTCACTTTGGGAAGCTGAAGAGCTTACGGCAATGTCCCCAGGTGCTCTCAGTGAAGCCCGCTTACCTATGAGCTGAGACGGGGCTTGGATCAGTCTACCTGCCCTGGCAGGCTCATGACCAGGAGGCCATAAAGGACTTCCAGACATTTAGAGACAGCAGATCACATAGTGAGCAGGGTTATATAAAGAGGCTCAGGTTGTCACCCTAATGCTTTCCATATTGAGATCACCACAATCAGGGACTGGCCTTCAGTCTTGCAGGCCTGAGGACCAGACTTTTCCAGGGTACCCAGGACCAAATATGTGGTTAGTACTCAAATATTAGAAACGTATATTCCTATTTACTCTCACTTGGTAGCCCTCCTGTCAAGTTTTGAGCGTTCTCTTGCTGTAACCACCTAGGCACTGAAATTTCCAAGTTTCTTTCATGCTCAAGGTATAAAGCAAAGGCACTGTTAACATTTGGAAATGAAGGATAAGCGTGTTTGCGGACAGTTACTTTCTGCTGCAGCATCCATTCTGTTGGCCCAAATAGGGAGCGATGTTTGCAGTGTAAACATATGCACAGCATCTTCTCTAAGATGAATGGAAACGAAAGTGTATTTGGTTTCTCAGGAGCCTGTCTAGAATGGGGAAGTCAATACTGGTTTGTAGACATATACAGAATGTCTCAGGCTTATTCGAAACCCACCTTTTCACTTCAACCTAAGAACATAGCAGATACCCTTTCTTAAAAAAAATGCCTGCGAAGAGATACCCATGGCTAAGATGGTGTGATAATAGTGGTACTTACTTGTGCTCAGTATTGTAGTAGGTCCCCTCCATACATTGGTTTATCAAATCTTCACCAGAACCTTGCACACTGTGTTGTAATTCCCACTGCACAGTGGAGGAAACCAAGGCTCCAAGAGGTTACACAGTTTGCTTAGGTTCTGCAGCTAATAAACTGCAGCACAATGTGAATCAGAATTCCGCTTCTACTTCTTCTGCTCCTAACAGCAAGAGCAGAGGGACAGAGAGAGCCAAGCAGGAAACAGGAGAGAAAGAGCTTGGCTAAGGCAAGAGGGAGGGGGAAACCAGGGCATAACTGACACTTGAAGGGGCGGCAGAAACATGCCTCAGAACAAAGGGAACCCACTAGGTTCGCTGCGCTTTATAATTTAACCCGTAGTCGAATCATGTGGAAAGTGTTAGTGGTTTGACTCAGTGGGACTGCCAGCGAAACATACATTTAGAAAGTTGAAGGAGGCACCCCAGTGTTTGCTTCGTCTTGGGATAAGGGCTGGGCAAAGATCAAAGCAAGAGAAGACGTTCAGGAAACACTGGTCTAACTGCGTGCAGGAGGAAACTTTTCACAACTGGAAAATGCAAGCCCTCTTCGCCAACCCCAGAGCATGGAGGCTTTCCCTCATTAATCACGACTGTCAGGCTCCTCTCTGTAAACAGCAAGCTGTGGACATACAAAATATCTTCTGTTGCTCATGGAAAAGCAAAAGAGGGCGATGGTGAAACATACAAGTCATCGGAGTAAATGTTCGTTAGTGTCAAAAGCAGATGCTCTGTGACCTTACCAAATATGTGGCAATGAAAAATTCTGCAGTCGTTGGAAAGCCTCAAAAGTTTTATATTTAGATATAGCTCATTTACTCTACTTAAAGCTCCTATGAAGAAAAATAAAAAATGGAGATGCAATGATAATGCTAGAGGTCATTAATAAAAGGAAGATATCTAAACCTCAGTGTAATCACAGTAGTTTTTGTGTATTAGTCAATCATGTGATGCATTTCTGTGATTGAGTGAAAATCTCCACTTTCACCGGTCTGTCCATCAAATAGGGTAGACGGGGCTTGGGCTGGTGGGCTTGAGGTGCGTCAAGTCAGAGGGGTTGGCCAGGGTCCACATATTGCCTCATGTGTCAGGAGAGCAACCCAATTCGATTCATGCATATCCAGCTACCTTGGCGGGGGAGCGTAAAGTAGTCAGGAATCTGAGAGAGGCACTACTAACATCAGATCCAAAGGGGGAGGGAGAGAAGAAATGGAGCCGAGTTGGGGCGTTGGATCAAAGCGCAGGGTTGGGAAGAATGAAGCTTTATTCTTGAACGAAAGCAATAATAGGACACATTCACAAGGATCAAGGTCAGGTCACGCTTTCTTTCTGCCACCAAGCCTCTGCCATCTCTAGTCAGCATGACTAGTAGCCTTCCTATGTCTCTTGCTGCCCACTCCCAGAGTGTGTAAATGAGATCACATCACTCCTCTCCTTGCATCTCTGGTGCATTGAAATTAGAATATTATCCAACTGGAAATTAGATAATTATACTATCTAAATCTCATTTCTTAATATCCCAGTATATGCTCTCCTTAGACCTCCAGTTCATTGAAATTAGAATGATATCCACATTTCTCATGATGGCCATCTAGTTTCTAGGTTCCCTGACTCCGCTGGTTCTCTCTGACTTCAAGCTCGTTAACTCCTTCTCTGATTTACTATGCTGTGGTCACGCTGGCTTCCCTACTCCTCCTTAACAAGCATAAAAACTTCTGTGCGCTTGAAGGATTTTTTTCTCTTACCATTCTTCTACCAAGAACACTCTCTTCCTCTAATCTTAAGATTCCTGTCATTGTACTCAAGATTTAAGGCTCATTTCAAAGATCTCCTACTTATTCAGAGAGGTCTTTCTTAACTGCTTTACCTAAAACAGTATACATATCACTGCCTAACATTCTATTATATATATATATTTAGTTTACTCGTTATCTCTTTCTCCATTAGAGGAGTCCTAATGAATTCATTAAATTTTTACATTCATTAAATGCTACATCAAGGAGGGCATGGATTTTTTTTTGGCTGCTATATCCTGGAACAGTGACTGCTACATAGTAAGCATTCAACAAATTCTTTTTTAAGGAATGAATACGTGAGTGACAGGCAGACTTGCAAGGGAAGGGGTGCCTGGACAAAGAGTCTTTATATCTGGGTCAGTCCTGACTAACTTTTCTAGCTGCGACGACTGGGCTACTGTCTGCAAGTCGTGGATACCATGAACTTTCCCGACAGGTCGGCATCCGTGACATGTGTTGTGACCACGTGTGCTAACGCATGTGAAAGTGCTCGGAAAATATGATATTTAGCAAGAAGCCAGTGGCTCTTGGGCAAAAAGTCAGCCGCATGCATGACGGTCTAAGACATTTATACTTCGCCCAATGTAAAGCAGAGAAAAAAGGTTCTTTGAAAGAAATTGGGTTTGAATTTTTCCACTTAAGAAAATTATATAAGGAAAATGTTTGTTTCACAGGCCATTCATCAAAGATCCTAGAATAGGAACAGAGTTCAGAAATATATCTGGTTTCCTGCCTTTGGAAAGGAACGGCACTGTTCCTGGTTAAAACGGCAGCACAGGAGTTAGACTGCCTGCCTTTGACTCCATTCCAGTCTGGCTGTGAGACATTGGGTAAGTCACTTAACCTCTCTGGGCCTAAGTTTCCTCATACAAAGAGTTCAGAGAACATGACATCTATTTGAAATACAATCCTGGGAGAGTTATATAAAATAATGTTTGGAAATCATTTTGAGCAGTGCCCCTTTAATAAATATTAGCTACTGTTATCTTCATTTTGCAACAAAGTGATGGAATTTTACAACACTAGAGGAACTTTTTCAAGGTGGCCCAGCTAACATATGGTGGGGCAAGATCTGGAACCCACAACTTCTGTCGCTTGAAGTGCTGTTGGATAGATTTAAGCATTTTAAAAAGACTTAAGCAATTAAGCATATTTAACACCTAAAATAGACATCAGCTCCAAAACAAGGTATTATTGTAATAGTTTGTGTAAAGAAAAAAAATATGTACAAAGATACGGGTGAAAAGTGATAAAAGAATGAACACCAAAGTGCAAATGGTTTGTGTACAGCGGGGGAGTTTGAACATATGAACAATTTTATCTTCTTTGTGTTATGCTGTTTATCATGTTATTAGAATTCAGCAGGTATGAACTATATAACCAAAAAAAAGTTATTTAAAAAGCAAAACAACAACAACTCCAGCAATGACACTGCTATGTCTCTTAAAAGTGTGATTATATCAATCCTTATATCTTTTACAGTGGCTCACATTTCCAGACAGTTCTGGTTTAGACTCTCGCCAAGCTCCCATAGAACCTGCCCATGTGCCAGTCCCCCAAGTTGTCACACTAATTCTGTGTTTCGGCGTCATTTTCCTCACATGTGCATATACTGTTTCTATCCCAGGCACCTCATATGGTGGCACTGTAAAAATGTTTGATGAATGACAGAGCCATTGGGATTCTGACTCAAGAGAAAGTATTTTTGAGGACTATCCCAATTCCAAAATTATGAAGATGATTCACAGAATCATCTGTACTAGTGAATTATTGATATGCGTTTCTGTATTTCATTTCTCACCAAGACTTATGTTGTTTTTTCTTTTACAATAGAACATTTATAAACCATAGTTCACATTTATGTTTCATACCTAAGTATTCTTTATCAAGAAGATTTCAATAATCATCCTCTGTAAAGTGCCCTAAAGAAATTTGACCATATTATCCTTTAGGTTGGTTTCATGTTTAAGGGGTTTTCATGGACATTTTTATTACTTGTTCAAATGATTTATAATCTAAGTTTCAGGCTTTTCTCAGAAAGCTTTGAGCCTGTTTCTTTAGCAGAGTTATATACAAGAGTTTAAAAGGCAGTGAAACTCACTTGAACCCTGGGCTTGCCTCTGGGTGCTGCCATCCATGACATGCCTGCTTCTACCGGCTTCCGTGAGCGTGGCTTTGGTTGCCCCAGAGGCTAACATGGCCTGGTGTTCTTTATCGGGGCTAGAGATAGAAAGATACCTATCTTCAAAGGAGACAGTCTTCAAAGTAGGCATGTGGACGTTTTCACATGGTCAGACTGGGAGCACAAGGGTTAGTGGTATTAAACTGTGACTCATATAGAGAAAGCATCAATGAGGAGTTTGCAAACAGAGGCGCCACTCAGCGTCTGACTGACATTAGTCAGACATCTAAACTGCTGTAGGAGGTGGGCTGACTGGCCCACAGGGAACAGCATTTGGAGTGGACAGCTGTCAGCCTCACTGGACCACAACACTTCACGTTCTTCTTTTGTTTGATTATATATCTCACTAGACAATGACTACTTTAAAATGTGACAACATAGCAAAGTATATAAGACAACACACAGTTTTAACCTTGGGAAAATTACCTAGGATTTCTATGCCTAAGTTATAAATATAATGATAACAATAATAACAGTAACAAGTAATATTTATAGAGAATCCACTCTGTGTCAGGTGCTATTATAAGCATTTGGCATGTACCATTTTTTTTTATAAAATGCTTCCCTCATACAGTTTATTGCTGGAATTAAAGGAAACAGCTCTTGCAAAGTTCTTAGCAGAGGGCCTGACCAATAATACGAGTTTTCAAAGAAGTTAGCTATTTCATTGTTATTGTAAATAATAGTGATGAATGCATCTTTCTTCAACTAAGAATCTAAGAGGCTTTAAAATTTTTTGGCTAGATGCAGTTCCAAGGCTTTGTCATATCCCAGAAATACCCATAACCTAACCCAGGGCCTGAAGCATATTAAGTGACTGACAAATATTTATAAAAATAACAAATATTCTAAGTCATATGGATATTTTTGTAAGTAGATTTCTCAGGAAAGAAAGTATGTAGTTTTCATCAGATTCTCAGTATGTTTCATGATATAAGAAATAAAGAACCACTACGTTGAAAAAGAATTTGTCATCGTGTAAGTAATGAAGTCCTAACAAGTATAACTGGGAAGCAGGGAGGACAGATCCGAGTGGCGCTGGCCCCCCCACCCTGGGAGGACTCAGAAGGGCCTTGCGGTGCTCTCCTGAGTTCTCAGTCCAAGAGGCATTTACATAACACTCTGGGATTACTGGCTGTTCATCTGGCATGAAAGGATGATTCAACGTCAGATCATTTCATTCTGGTTTTGTAGGAGTCACTGACTGTTAGCACTGGAAAGAACCTCGTCCATGACCTATGTCAGGGTTTTTAAATTTGGACCAGAAGTGTCACCGTTCTCCACCCTGAAATCCTGGAACACATCTCTGCGTGGGGTCGGCAGTCTTTACATCTGCGTCTTTGAAATCATGCTAATTAGTACTGTATTTAAACCAATTGCAACCATTAGCAACTGGTTTAAATTAGTTTATGTGAGGAAACAGGTTTCCATCCATATCAAGCATTTCATATCTTCCTATCACAGCTGGGAAAATCAAGGAGATGACATTTAATACGTCCAAGGATTAGACTTGAGCACTGTAGAGTGAGAGATATGAAAATTCTGAGATACGAGGGTTGTGACTACAAACTACAATCATTTAAGTACCAAATATGTCTTTTGCTTATGCTGCTACTTTATGCTCATCTTTCCTATAATAAAGAAGGAAACACTTTTAAGTGATGATTTACCTTCTTATCACACACCAATCTAGAGGCAGTTGAAAGCAGGCTCTGGGTGATGAAATTGTAAATGATTAGTTTAAGTCATTTATAAATCCTTTACCAAGGATTATTTCATATGTTTTTTATTTTAAACAATAACATAGCTATGCAGAGGCTCAGGTCTCAGGCCCCTCCTCTTGTCTCTCAGCATTCTTGAAAAGAGCAGTGTGGGAAAGTCCTGCGCTTACATCTAAGACACCTGAGCTGTTGCAACTAGCTGAGGATTAGTCCTTTTCTGGGGCTCAGTTTCCCCCACTGTAATAGGAGAATATTGGATACTTCATAGGAAATCACAACTGGATTCCTGTGCATGGAAGAGAAAAAATGGCTCATTATTGAAGAGTAGATTACGGACATTTATTTATTTTCTTGTGTGTGTGTGTGTGTGTGTGTGTGGTGTAAAAAAAAGAAAATTTAAGAGAGGATGAGAATTGACCAGGGAAAGACATGCAATAAAGTACATTTCCACCTTTTTAAAGCATTAATTAAATAATCTAGACCTGGTGTCAGAATTACTGAACATCATTGTAGTTTCTATGACTTTGAATGAGATCCTCCTCCTTCTACGTTATGAAGGCACATAAGTTATAAGTCCTGTCATAAATTTTTCCAGTTGGTTCTACGGAAAACTGGAGAAAATTGGAGTTTTCAGGCAGACCAGCAGAGATCAAGTTCTGGCATGGCCTAGACTTATGTTTCTTTTGAAGATCGTAAGGGTGGTCCAGGAATGGAGGATTGCCAAATAAGTAGCTATCCCTCTGTCTGTAACATATACTCTAAATAAACTGGCTTAAATCCCATTCTTCTCTTTCCTTTTGTATTGGCCACTCTTTGGCATATTAAAAGTTACAGATAGAAATTAGAAAATAAGCCAGCATTACATGAGAACGTATTTATTGTCTGAATAATAAAATAAAACTTGGTTAAGGAGGTATTAAAATTCCCCCTACCTGAAGTACAAGTTTCCATAAACAAACAGAAGCAACTCCCCCAAACGAAAAAGAATACATTGGTAAACTAAATCGTAGGCCTTGGGGGTGCTTTCAAACCATCAATCTACTTCTTCGTAGTGGACCATACGTAGCCCTGATGACACAGACATAGGATGTGAGACATAGCAAATCAACATACGGACAAGAATGCACAACAACCACAAAGATGAGACTTCAGTGTGGTTGCTTTAACTGACACACAACCACAGAAGCATTTCAGACACCTTCCTGCAAAGGATGATTGGCATATAGTTTCTAGCCCATACTCTTACCAAAAAAAAAAAAAAAGATTCCTAAAAACAAAACCTTAGAGATCATGGTAATAAATAAGAGAGAAAAGGTGAGGAGGAAACAAGCGCTTAACTTCCATCTGCAGGCAAGCACGCGGATGCGGATGCGGAGCGCACCCCAGCCCCCATCTCACACGCAGGCAGCCTTGACAGCTTTCGGAGCCCGGAGTCACTGCTGAGAACGGAAAGGAGCCACACACACTGCTTTCTGAGTGTTTCCACGAAACCTCCGGGATGGGAAAGCTAAGCACTGCGTACGTAACTTGTGTGCTTTTAAGTGTGGCCGAAACAGGTGTCTCCGCAGCGTTATCAAGCCTGTAGGAAAGGTGGGAGGCATGGTTTAAAACTTTTCAGGTGACAAATCAATGGCAGGCACATAAATAAGGTAAAACAAAACCACTCAACTCCCACTTCTTTTAAGAAGGACTTCAGATCATTCTCCAAGTGCAAATCTGGGTAAGAAAATTGTAAGTGTAAGGGAAATGTCAGCCCTGTCTTCTGTTCCCCAGCCTCCATAGCAGGGTAGCTCTGCTACCCTCTCCCGGCAGGGTGCCCGGTCACCTATACTTTAAGATAGTCGTTTTTCAGACGACCTAGTCGGGTCCCGTGGCTCCTGATGGTGAGGGCCAGCAGCTCGTATCTGTCCCTGAGCCCCACAGAGATGGCGAGCGTTTCCTTCAGCAGGGACTTGGTGTGGACCAGCATCCCCAAGAAGTCCTCATTGAGTCTGCTCTCCTGCCGGCTGTCCTGTTCCTGGCCCTGCTTGAACTTGCTTTCCAGCTCGGTGAGGGACTTGTCGGAGTTGGAGTAGGCATCCCCGATCTGGTGGGACTCCCGGCGCAGGTACTTCCCGTAGCTCTCTTCCCCGTCCAGGTCATAGGAGATGCTCTTACTGATGCCCTCCAGGACCCGCCCAGCGTCCTCCACCTGGCGGCCCAGCACCGTGAACTGTTCCCGCAGGGTGAGGCTCAGCAGACGGCTGGCCTGGCTCCCCTCCCCCTGGGAGCAACGCCGGTGGTCACTCACCCTGAAGAGCAGCTGGCACTTCTCCGGGTCATCGTTCTCCTCGTAGTCCCCGTCAGGCACAAAGTAGTGGTGCAGCGTCCCATTGGACATCTCCGGGTAGAGAGGGCCATCGAAGTAGCCCTGACAGAGGTGGCAGAAGAAACCCATCCAGAGGAACTTCAGAAACACCATCCTGTATGTTCAGGATGACAGGGGACCCCTGGAGAAGACTTTTCGCCCGGGCACGTGAAAGGGGTCCCCCTGTGGAGTCAGCGCCTCCCTGAGACGGCGGCAGCCTCAGTCCAAACCGGCTTGCTGCACCCTGTCCCCACCTCCCCAGCAGGCTTCATGTGGCTGTGGCAACCGCGCCTGGGTAGCAGGGTCAGCCGCGCGGGGTGCACCAGGCTCTGAGCTGCTGCGCTACGTGCTGGGCGGCTGGGACTCCGCAGGCTCTTTCCGCAGGGCACAGGGGGCTCTGGCGGGACGCTGGCTCCGTCGCCTGGGCGTACTCTCGGAGTTTCCCCTTGCCGCAGGGAGACGGAGCCTGTAGCTGGAGAGAGGCTGGTTCTTGCCCTCTGGTACTATTTCAACTTCTGGACTGGGTGGGAATGCGGAGCTTTTCCTTTGGCTAATGATATCCTGAGGATCTCTCTGCTCTCAAATTACAGCTGGTTTCGTCACTTGGAAGCTAGGGAACAAGTTTGGAAAGAAACCTCTCATCAGGTCTCTGTTATTAAAGTTACAGGGTCTCTTTTTAAAGATTGGAAGGGAGACCGTAAAAATAAGAATTTGGCTTGAAGGAAAAAATGAGGACAGGATAGGTAGAATTCCCTTAACGAAAACATTGGTTTGCTGTCAGCAGATAGGAAGAAGGATGATTACCTTAGAGAAATGACATTTCACATTTTAAATACGGATCAGTTAGATGGGATTCAATAATTATGTCTTTCATGTCAAAAGTTTGTGACTTTGAAGGCAAATTTGAAGTATAGAAAGTGGCAGGTTGATGTGAAAATGGTTAATTAAAATTAATAATAACACTTGGGATGCAATATGAAATAGAAAAGTGATTAATGCATGGTTGCAAGTATATATAAGAATAAAAGCTGAAATAGAATTTTGCCAGTGTACTAAGTAAATGGACAAGTGAAATAATTGTTTAATTTTGTGGAGAAAAAAACTCCTCCATGCTAAGCTCCTACATTGTATCTTTAAGTTGACACCTTTATAGGTGTCTATTACCTCTTTTTGGTAGTTTCCTTATTTTCCAGATGGAGAAACAAAGGGACAGGATTTTATGCAAATTGTTTATAGTCACAAAGTTATGTTGCAGTTAACATTGTAGTTGAGCTAACACTAATTCACAGGGTCTTTTAATTTAGGGAAAATACTTTTTTAACTGGCTATTATAATTTCTGATTTTGTAAAGATTTTATTTATTTATGTTTAGAGGGGAAGGGAAGGAGAAGAGGAGAGAAACATCAATGTATGGTTGCCTCTAGTATGTCTCCTGCTGGGAACTGGCCTGACACCCAGGCATGTGCCCCGACTGGGAATCGAATCTCGATTCTCTGGTTGACAGGCCTGCACTCAATCCACTGAGCTGCACCAGCCAGGGCTAATTTCTGATTTTCAATGGATTAGAAAACAGCCTTCCTCAGGCCATGTAATTTGTTCAACGATGTTCATGGGGCACTTCCTATAGACCACAGTCTACTTAAGTCTTGGAAACAGAGCAGTGAACAAGGAGATGGAGACCAATCCTTCCTCTCTTAGAGCTTATGTTCCTGGGAAATGGAGAGAAGATTAAATAAGATATAATGTATGTCGGGTAGCAATGGGTTTGTAGAGAAAAGACAGGGAAGGGAGGGGAAAGCAAGAGGTAGTGTGGTTATTTCCTGTTCTTGAAATCTAACTGAAATGCTCATATGATTTGCCTGTGTTTATACTTATCACCCTCTTCAAGGCATAGGGGACTGGTATCATTCAGAGCCACAGTGCCATGCAGTTTTGGGACTGTGACATTTATTGCCATCACTTTTACTGCCATGAAGCCAGACTCTTGGAAAGACATGAGCAGTCTTGTCAGATAAGTGGATATTTTGTTCGTGTGGTGTCGTATGCACAGATTTTTGAGACATGTTGACTGCACATTTTTCAACGTTAACCAATTTGTTCCCTGACAACATATAGTTTTATATGTATTTTTACATATTATCCCCATTTTACAGAGAGTTGAGTAAACAGAGAGGTTAAGTAACATAGCTAGCACATAGTAAATTTCAGATCCAGGTGCTTCGACAGCAGATTCCATGTTCATGATTACGCACTAAACTGGACTGAAGTAATCCTGAGCATGGGGCCCTGCATCCTTAATGAGCACCTGAAACAAACATATGTCTTCTCTGTCCCAAAGCAGACAGCATATTAAAAAATAAGTAACAAATTTAGGTGTCATCCCTGCACAGAGGCCACGCTAATCTTCTCTGTGTCATTCCCATGTTAGTCTATGTGCTGTTGATGCTGCAACTGACTGCACATTTTAGTTCTTATTCACATACCTGGCATCATGAAAACAGAGACCAAAGGGGTGTCCTTAGTGTTGATGCTCACTAAAAGACTCTGGCTGTTTTCACTGTTCAGGTTTTCCCCGCTATGCAAAAGTACAGTGTTTCTGTGAAACGTTTTGTAAGCCAAAATGGCATAAAGTAATTACTGTTAATTTATAAAGGAAAAAATTTGGGAGCATTCCCAGACCCCCAAAATAACCTACCGAATCATACCGAATTACATATAAAACTTAAAATAACATTCCCAGAATAGTAGAAGCAGGAATGATGTGCTGCACTGCCTATGTAATGTGGAAATAATGTATATACGGTGTATTTTTACTTAGCAGGGCCCACTGCCTCTGTAACTGCCTTGCTGCAGAACAAACACTGAGCACTGTTTTTACTTTGGGCTTTTTTTTTTTGAAAGCAAAAATATTCTTTGGATTTCTCTTGGTTATGAAAACAGGTACTTTTGTTAAAGTGAAGTGGCGTGAAGTGAATTTTTGAAAAGTAATGCATACCTACATTCCAATAGGAAACTACAACCACCCTGACTGGTGTGGACCCGTGGGTTGAGCACAGTCCTGCAAACCAAAATGGCACTGGTTCCATTCCCAGTCAAGGCACATGCCTGGGTTGTGGGCCGGGTCCCCCAGCTGGGCGTGTGCAAGAGGCAACATATTGATGTTTCTCTTTCTTTCTCCCTCCTTCTCTCCCTCCCTCCCTCTCCCTTCTCTAAAAATAAATGCATAAAATCTAAAAAAAAGAAAAGAAAAAAAAACTACAACGTTTTCCAGTTGAGAAAGTGAACTTTTGGACTCGAGAACCAGATTGCTTCATTCCTTTTCCCTGGGACATTCACAAGTGACAACTGATGGATTCAAATTGCCTGCTTGACAGAGAAGAAAACTTTGTTCTGATTCACTCCACTTCCTGCACAATCCCTCTCTGACTTACTAATTCTATTAAGTACACCTTTATTAAGCACTTACTACTACTTGTCCTGTGCATGTAGGGTGCAGTGTTAAGTTAGGTACAGATGCAAAAGTGTGCAATAAATAATTTCAGCCTACAGGGAGCTTGCTCTCTGGTTTGATATATGCATATACACATGCATAATCAAAATAAGAATGGCTAGGAATATTTACTTTTTCCTGCAATTAATTTATCTAAAGATATGAGCTCCATGCTAGGTATCAGAAAGGAATCATTTTGGTGCCAGTAACTGCCTGTCAAACCCAATCAGGTTAAAAGCAAAAGGAATTCGCTGACTTACACAAAATCTATGACTAGATTTTCAACCTATGTCTGGTCCAGAATCTAGTTTCCTATCACCATTTTTTGGATTTACTTCCTCAGCTTACATTCACTCTTGGGCAGTCTCTTTCATCTGTGTTTCCGAGATGGCTATCAGTGTCTTTAGGGACTTCTTTCCTCATGTCTAGCAAAAATGCCAGATTAGATTTTCCAGTAGCTTATATGCAGGTCCTCCAACTCAGCCTTGGTGGCCACAGTTAGCCTGATTTCGATCATTAATCCATCCTTGAACCAGGCTGATTGTAGTCAGAGATTTAGAATAAGCCACTGGGCTAAGACAATAAGGGCCCCACTCTGCAGCTGCAGGCAAGGGGCCATGCCAACTACATGGCTGGAGAATTCAGGGTCCTGATTAGGAAGGGGAAATTATGAGAATAGATTCTGGGGAAGTGACTACAGATACTAGTAAGAGTTTAAGAGCTGGGTCTATGGAAGAAAAAGTTCCCTTTGTAACACTTGTTGATTTCCATGTTGTAAATACTCCCACAGTGGCGGATATCACTGAATGCAGAGTTGGGAACACGGCAATGGCACCCAGTAAAGAGAACTTCCATCATTTCCATCATTTTCATGCATTAGATGAAAATGACCCCAAAAGCATAGAAAATAGTAAAGTGTAATAAAATGAGAAGTGATTAATCTTACATATACATCTCCTTTACTTTAATTATATGTTCAAATAACAATTTTAATAATGACTATGTCTAACAACTGACTTGCAAAATTCCCAAAAACCTAACAATTGGTTCTCATGAGAAGGTGCTAGTAGACGCCAGCATAACACACTCTTTTGTGTTAAACACTTCATCTTGTTCACTTTTAAAAGGTATTTATTTGTGTTGTGTTGGCCAAGAAGTTCATTGAATTTTAAGGTAAAAATAAAAGACACGATTTTCATTTTCACCAATAACTTTATTGAACAACATATTCACTGTTTTGCTCCACTACCTTCTGCCAACTTTCAGGCAACTTCCTAATTTCATCTTCCCCAAACTTTCTAACTTTTTGAGCAAACTACTGCTCCACATGCCTTTTACAGTCTTCCAGCCATCAGAGAGATGCAAATTAAAACCACAATTAGATACCACTTCACACTGGTCAGAGTGGCCATCATAAATAAATCAACAAACAACAAGTGCTGGTGAGGTTGTGGAGAAAAGGGAACCCTAGTGCACTGTTGGTGGGATTGCAGACTGATACAACCACTATGGAAAACAGTATGGAATTTTCTCAGAAAACTAAAGAAGGAACTGCCTTTTGACCCAGCAATTCCACTGCTGGGATTATACCCTAAGAATCCTGAAACATCAATTCAAAAGAACCTATTTACCCCACCTGTTCATAGCAGTACTATTTACAATAGCCAAGTGCTAGAAACAGTATTACTGAGTGGATCAAAAAGCTGTGGTACATTTACACAATGGAATGAATACTACACAGCAGAAAAAAAGAAAGAACGCCTACCTTTTGCAACAGCATGATGGAACTGGAGAGTATTATGCTAAGTGAAATAAGCCAGGCAGTGAAAGAGAATTGAAATATTTTCTGTTAAGAGAGTTTTATAAAGACTGAAATAAATGGAAATCCAAAAGTGCAATTGTCTGATGTTTGTCTGATGAATACAGCAGATAAATCAGAACTTTCTAGCCAAGTTGTAACAGTTTTTGCCTGGTCATCAAAGAAATATGCAATCTTGTGTTACTGATGGAAGATTATGTATTTTCTCTTGATTAATTCTGGACACTTTTTCTTTTTAAAAGATTTTATTTATTTAATTTTAGACAGAGGGGA